TTGTTGTTGGTTGGTTGGTTGGTTATTTTCATAACCTCCGTCTTGTCTATGTTCACCTGGAGTCCTGTCTTCTGTGGTTGCTTCTTCGACCAGTTTGTCGGTTCTCGCTTATAAGTCTTCGATTTTATGTGACATCAAATATAAATCATCCACACGCGAAATCCAGGTCTTCTAAGTTCTTCGCGTCGGTCCAGGATATTCCTGTCTGCTCGTTTCCCACTGTCTGACGCATAATCCAGTCAGTTCACCACAATTAGGAATATCATTGGTGATAATAAACACCCTTGTCTGACTCCTGTGTTTACTCCAAACGCCTCGCTGAGTTTTCCGTTGTGGATCACTTGACATGTTCCGTTGTCGTACAGCTGTTGAATGAGGTCGATGAATATTTGGGCCACTGTACGCCAAAGTCCTCGAGTAGTTTCCATATTACTTTGCGGTCAACGCTGTCTGTCGAACGCCTTCTCAAAGTCTATGAAGTTGAGGTATAGGTTTAATAGCCATTCTATGTTTTGTTCTGTGATGATGATGCGTAGAGTTGCAATTTGGTCAGAAGATGATTCGTCTTTCCTGAATCCAGCTTGTTCTGGTCGGAGTTCTGCATCTAGTGTGTGTCCTTAATTCTCTCCATGATGATGTGACTCAGGATTTTGCTTGGCGTCGACAGGAGCATGATTCCTCGCCCTTCTTTGGTAGTTTCACGAGGTAACCTTTCCTCCAGTCAGTAGGCACCTTTACCTCCTTCCAGACCTTTTGCAATAATGGAGTCAGCATGTCTGCCGTAGTCTCTGGGTCCGCTTTTAGGGCTTCAGGGGGTATTCCATCCGGTCCAGCTGCTTTTCCAGCTTTCAGAAGCTTGATTGCATTCAAGACGTCAGCTTTCGTTGGAGGATCGGTGTCAACTTGCAGTTGTGTGCGCGCTGTTGTTGGTATTTCAGGACGGGTTGCAGGTGATGGTCGGTTCAAGAGTCCTTTGAAGTGCTCCGCCCATTGTTTAATCTGTTTTTCTTCCTTGGTAATTGGGTTCTCTTGGCTGTCTTTTATAGGTTTCGCTTGTGTTGATCTCTTCCCGGATGGAGATTTGGTTATCTGATATAATGTCCTCAGGTCCCTTTTGCCTGCTGCCTTCTCAGCTTCAGTGGCGAGGTTGTCGTAGAATCGTCTTTTGTCCTTCCTAGCACTTTTCTTCACTTCTTTTTCCAGTGCTGTGTAAGTTGAGCTCAGCGTCTCCTTCTCCTGTCCGTCTTTGCGTTGAATCATTTTCTCTTTCACCATTCTCCTCTCCTCTATTAGCTTCCAAGTGTCCGTTGAGAGCCATTCCTTGTCTTGTCTCTTCTTTTTTCCTAGACCCGTTGGACACGTTTCGTTGAAAATCACCTTCAGAGAGTTCCAGTGGTCTTCCACGCATGATTCTTCAGTGATGTCTCGTAGTGCTTCCTGATTTGCTCTGACAGTTGCAGTGAAAGTGTCTTTTGTGGTTGTGTCCTTCTGTAATTGAGTGTTGAACTTGCATTGTGGCCTATCCCCAGCTATCCTCGAGGCTTTTAGCTCCACCTTGAAAGTCCCTTCTACTAGATAAAGGTCTGAACCCACATCTGCTCCTCTCCTCGACCTTGTGTCCAGTAGGCTCCTTCTCCAATTTCTTGAAATTGAGATGAAGTCTATTTGGTTTTTGGTGCTTTTATCTGGTGAAATCCATGTCGTCTTGTGTATACCCTTGTGTTTGAAAACGCTGCCACTAATCACTAGTTCATTGAAGGCGTAGAAGTCTGAGAAGAGTTCACCATTGTCGTTCATTTCACCGAGGGTCTCTCGACCCATGGTGAGTTCTCTTCCTGTGTTGTCTCCTCCCAGCTTCGCATTCATATCGCCCATCAGGATTTTGATATCGCCATTTGGGACGTTGTCCATTATTGCTTGTAGTTGTCTGTAGAACGCCTCCTTCTTCTCTTGTTCTGAGACGTTTTTAGGCGCATAGCATTGAATGACTGTAACTTTCTTCCTTTTGAGTTGAACCTGGCTGTCATGATCCTGGAGGAGATTGGTTACCACTGCATGAGAGCTTTGGCTGCTGTTGGTGACATCATGATGGCCACTCCCTCGGTGTGCTCGTGGTTGTCCTCTGGGTGGCCGGAATAGATTATTGTCTTTGCACTTGGTAGTTGGCACCTTCCAGTTCCGTTCCATCTGCTTTCGCAGATTCCCAACACTTCTATTCTGTACCTTCTCATTTCAGCGGCTATCTGGGCAGCCTTTCCAGTTTCGTACATTGTACGAACATTTCAGGTATCCATCCTTACTTTTGCTTTCATCGAAAGAAGGCAAATCGGCTGACTGGCTTTCCGAAGGCTTTCAGCAGCCTGCGTCATTTCACTTCCCTGATTCCAGCGAAAAATAAGGCTATGATTATATTTTTAGAATTTTTAATATATTTGCGCGTTGAAGTTTCTGTAGCGATTCGGTTGAGTTTTACGGGGGTGGATTTGCTAGCACCACGCCCCAACCCTCCCTCTTTATCCGGGCTTGGGACCGGCGAGAAAACTAGCGAGCTAGTAATCTAGACGAGGTTCAGAATGTTCTTAAGACAGACTTAATCAAAGATAAAGACAGAACTGAGTCTTTGATATTGAACACTACAAAACTGTTCGGTTTTGATGATCATGCAGTACGTACACCTTCCATGGCACAAAAATAAACCCAGGGCTAAAAATTAATAGGTTGGAAAGAATGGTTACTCTTTTCGATAAGTTCATCATCAGTCTCTACAGTTATATATACATTATAGTGAATGAATGAATTAGCGTTATGAACATCATTAATGTTGTTTAAATAACATCGAATCAACAATATTGATAGATTACAGCTAAATAGCATCAACATAACAATAAACTGAATGTCAGAAACATTAGGAAAGATAATATTACAAATTCATAAGTTTACAGTCTCTACTGAAGGCCAGGACAGTAGTAGGGGCTAGCTGGACTTGCTTCTTTTGCACATAAAGCACTGGTTGTTTCACACGAAACGCGATAGCCACGGATGTTTGGAGCATGCGGTACCTCGATGTTTTTGGCAATTTATTTGGCACCCGGTAGATGATAGAGAAGGATTCTTCAATGCTGGCTGCGTGGGCGGTTGGTTTGTACCAGGTGGTCTAATATTGGACTGTTCATGGTTTTTACTACACATTTATTTAACCATACTGGGAGATGTTATCCAGCACGAAAAATCAAGTTCCTAGAGCAACGACCGATTCGATATTATCTAAACATTAATCTTGTTCGTAACACTAATTCATTTATTCACTGTAATGTATATATAACTGTAGAGCCTGATGATGAAGGGGTTATCGAAACGAGGTCCTCTTTGTTCAGTATCCATTCTTTTGAAAATATCAATGGGCATTTTTTAATCAGTTATTGTACTGAACTGGATTAACAAACTCACTATTAACTAGACAGCCATCTGTGGAAATTCAAAGGGGCTTTAAATTTTGTTTTACATGGCGCGAATCCAACTGAATTCAGATGCTGTTTTGTGCCTTTTCCTTGTGCTATTGATATACGCACTCAGAGTCCATAGTTCAGCCATACTGGCCCGGTAATTTCAAAAATCTCTTCGTCAAAATAACCTCAATTATCGATTCTATTTAAATATAATGCTCATCAGAGCACATTCCTAAAAAACACTGAATGCCCTTTTTGTGTTTTTTTGGTCAGTATTCACAAGTTAGATTGTTTACTGACTGACTGCGTAATTAGGCAATGTAAAGTTTAGTAAGTGTGGTATATTGTAGCATAACATCATTAGTGCAGCAGGCATCTTACAAACACAGTGGTTGAGAAAACACTGTGGGTATTAGTTTAAGCTCGTCCTCCTGGTCCTGAAAAGGTGACTTCTTAGAATAAAAAAAATTACTACTTCCATAACTACTTCCACTTGAGTGGTTTATGCAGAGATCACCTACTCTATCTCACGCCACACCAGCTATACAGCTTTAGAAAAGCGGACTCATCTTTTCATTCTTGATGAGAACCATCCATTTTTTAACATAAAATATATATGAAGTAAACTAGACAGAGTGAGTGTTTCTGAGGAAGTGTTAATCATAGCCTCTGTCTGTCTGTTTTCGACATAGAACTTTGCACCGATGTGCACCAGTTCGAGTCGCCACACTCCCTCCATGTAACACAGAAAGCAAGAGAAGAAAGTGGAAGAAATGCATAATAGAGACAGTAAACAGAGGTGTGAGACAAAGGAATAGTAATAATGAAGAACAATATAGTTTCATTGGAAATCATAGTTCACAAGGAGTGGATGCATCTGCACCAGCCAGCCATTGGGAACGATCACTGAGCCATGTCACCAATTGTTTCCAATCATTGGTTTTTACTGACTCGAGGACCCCAAACAGGAAGTCTACACCTTCCTACGTGGCTAGCGTAAACTAACCGTTGTGGATTTCATTGACTAGTGTGGCCATGTTTTGGTTTGACCGCTGCTAGCTCTTCTCCAGCCTGACCCTATGTCAGCTAACATTGTCCATCGGTCGAGGTAGGTGATGACTAGGCATACGTAACACATGTCCTAACCATCTCAGTCTTTGTAACTTCACAACCTCATCGATTGATTTCCCATCTCACCTACCTAGCACTCGACCGATGCCTAACCTCAATATTCCTCACCTTATTATACCACTTCACACGGGAGATAAAGCGCAGGCACCTATGATCAAAAACAGCTAATCATTTCATGTCTTCCACTCTCATTGGCCAGGTCTCGCTGACAGCCATAAAGGAGGACGGAGCGGACTGATGAGCAGTACACCCGCCATTGGGTCGATAGCCAGCAGGACATCACGTCTACGGCATAAACTGGCATATACGAAACTAGCCCTCTGTATCATAGCCTCAATGTCGATTCTGTTGATTAGGGAACTACAAAGTAATAAAACTCACAAAAAGTGAACAATTTTAACGAAATCATTGCAAATCCCTCACCTTTTTAACAGTTGCATACACCTAACTGGAGCGAAATTCCCACCTCGACCATTATGATCAATCTTATTCCCGGATAATTTAAGCACAGAAATTTGTGGACCAGCTGGAGGTACCTGATATCTACCTTTACCTTTTTTGAGCCGTCTACCCACTTATAAAAAAAATTAAAAAAAAAGAGATGACCAGTATTATAACTTCATTCAAACATCTCATTTTTAACTGAATTGCTCGAAATAAGTAGTGTTATAATAACTTTTTACAAAATGATGAACAATATAGCAACTGTTGGATGTATATATATATATAAGATTACTTCAAGTATTTTCAATTGTTCATTTTCCAAGGATTTGATTAATTCCAATTTTGAAAACGAACTGACTTCATTAAAACAATTAGTCCCTTTAATAAATTTGAATAAGGCATTAAGAAGACAAATTTCGCGAGATGATATTATTTCGTAGTTTCTTTATTAACCTACCATTCAAGGGCGACCAGATTATGCAGTTGACAGCTAGCTCAGCCATCAAACTCACATTCTACGCCGCCACATCTCTTTTTCTCATTTGCCGAACACTTTCAATTCCTGCACCTACGATTAATGGACGAAATTCTGTGGACTCTACTTCAAACTGTATCTACAAGTTCACCTGCAGCTGCGGTGACACCTATAAAGGTAGAACCAACAGAATGCTCTAATGTGGTCGTCGAAAAGAACATGTTCCAAAATGGCTACTAAATCATATCGAAAATCCCAATGCGATTAATCTGAATAGAAATCTAGCATCATCCATTGCAAAACACTTATTAATGTCAGGTCATTAAATCAATATTAATGACTGCTTCACAAATATTTCATCACATAACTCTAATTCAAGGTTACTAAAGGTGATGGAAGCACATTTCGGGGATTAATCACATACAGCCTAAACTGTGTGTACAAAAAACAATAGACTTCAATCTTCGCCTACCATGGACAACATGACCTATATGATTGGTCATTAGTATTTACTTTCATTTTCCAGTTAACTGAGTAATTGTCATGATCTTTATTTTATTATTGTTAACCATGTTAGTTGTAAAGCGGTTGTAAAGAACCCACGAAATGACGAGATCATCTCGCAAAATTTGTCTTCTTAATGCCTTATTCAAAATGACTTCAGTTAGAGAACCACTGAAAACAACCAGAAATTACTGCGCAGCTGTTCCATCGTTGTTTGGGACTTTCCAGCAGTACACAACTATGACCTTTCTTGCCTGGTATCAATCAATCTTGAAATCAATCAAATCCCTCCAAATTACCACTTGAAAATTAACCTTGAGCTCACTATTAACTCAGCAGAGGGTAAAGCTGCCTGAAGTTCTAGTGGGAAGCCGTGACCATTGGGATTTACCAGGTTTAGTATGAGGACAAATGCTCACTGATAATACTGCCTGGTAGTCGCGAATCTGTGCGTCGGTGGCATAGCGGTTAGGACGCTCGCCGACCATGCACATGTTTCGGGGTTCAATTCCCGGCCGACGCACTCCTTTACCTCGCTAAGCCAGTAGCTAAAAAAATGGTAAAGAGGAACGATTGGGCATGAGGCTAGCAACCCCATCCTGTTAAAATAAACACTGCTACAGAAACTTCAAGCCACTAGCTTGAAGCCCTATGTTCCACTGGGGAACGTGAGGGGAAAAAAGTCACGAATCTGTAGAAGTTAACACTGATGGGCTGTTATTCTTTACCGCATTGGCTGAATGGTAGTACACGAGTTCGCCTCGTAACTCGATGACCCTGGATCCCTGATGAAGTCAGGGGTGCATGCTGATGACCAGTCTCAACACAGGGACGAAACAACTGTCCAGTACTTCCTGGTTTACAATTGTTATCTAACTGAATCTAGCTAGTGATCAAAAAATTATAATCCATGTATTCATTGCCAACAGTATCATATATAGGAAATATATAGATGTGGTGGTTTGACATAAACGCTTTATTTTTCTCTATACCCTTGGGATTTCCCTATGATGCATTTTCATTTCTTTTGGCTTCTTGCTTGATCTCTTTATTTCGCTTTCAATGAAAATGTCAACGTTACAGTCTTTCCTCTGTTTCATTTGCATATCAGTTGAATAATAATTGATAAATGACTAGTTTAGCAAGCAGTTAATTCCTATGGGTGTTTAATTTTTCTCTCAACAGGATTACACGCCATATGCATCTGGACTTCATCAATCATACATTCCATTAATCTAATGTAACAATGTCACAAAGTAAATACTAAAAACAGTACACCTTATTATCTCATGTTGAATATAAGTTAGCGTGTATCTTTTTAATATGACTTCTGTAATTACTGAATTTTGCATCAATACACCCACGAACAGACGTTGAAGTTACTCTTTCAGAAGGGTACAAAATTTTAAAATGTAGAATAAAGCTTTTATGATAAGTTGCTTACAAAAAAAAAAACTATAATTTCAGCCGAGTCTTCATTGGATAAGACATGCATTCAAATATCAAGTATAAAATAACACTATTTAAAAACGCCTTTCATAATACTTTAGACCAAAATGATGCCTCTGGCTTAATCCCAATATACAAAAGTATGCCTAAACCTACATAATAAAACCAGAAATAGAGTTCAGTCTGCATCAAATGAAGGACTAGGCGCATAACGTTAGTTATTATCTAGTGTCCGGTCAAAGTATCCATTACAGTCCTACAGGAAGTCAATTTCAATGATATAAGAATTAAAACTTGTGCACTGTGGTAGAGTGTAATTCCATTATGGGTAAATTTTGTTTTGATAAAGTCTCACAGTGTTATACAGCAATGTTTACTGATGACCAAGTTTCGAGCACAGTTTATTACCACTCATAATCATATCAAGTTAATCACACGAATTCCTAAATTCATTTATATAGTTCCATTGTTTTTCCCTTGATTTGATTGGTAGTAGTATTTTACATATTTCGGGTATGAGTGATGAATCATTTCTTTTGCATGTGTTGTATTGGGTGTAGACTCGATGAACAAGGATTCAGTAATCAACCTCTCTCTCCACCTATCTAGATTACTTTTTAGAATTTTAACCCTCTCCTACCATGCTATTGTGTGGTTGGTTGTATGTCAATGCATGCAATGCAATTGCTGAGCTTTTTTCTAAATTACTTATCTTCTCTGGATCAACCATTCTTACCTTAACTAAATTCTTATGTTCTGACATTCTGACTACCCCTGACCTATGTAGTTGGCCTCACAGTCATTGCAGGGTATTTTGTAAATAATATTATTTTGTCTAATTGGGTCAACTGGGTCCTTTAACCTACAGAGCTTGTCCCTTGATATGATTATGAGCAATAAATTGTGCTCGTAACGTCATCAGTAAACATTACTGTATAACACTGTGAGACTTTATCAAAACAAAATTTACCCATAATGGAAGTCAATTCCAAGTCTGAATAGCTCAGTGGTAACATTTCTGACCTTGCAGGACTGGTTGGCCAGGGTTCGAATGTTAGAAGGCATATGAGTTCCTTACAGGTTCTAGATATGCCTAGTTGATGAGTGCTGATTCGTCCTAGCTACCGTCTTCAACCGCTTAACAAGAGACTCATGCTTTGAGGTTCTTCATTTTGTGTCTCATATGAATGAGAGCACAAGACATTTCAGTGCACTTAAACAGTATCATTTGTTATAAGCTTTCGACATGCCAACCATCAAGCTAGCTTTTGTGATGACTATCTGGTTCATGGAAAATTTTCGCATCTCACGCATACCAAGTGAAACTTCACATTTTATGAATCGTAATTGCCAGCTGTGTTTAATTGTGATGAAAACTAGAGAAATACAGAAAGAAATGAAATCTGTGAGAAGAATTCATTGAAGTCTTAATTGTTTTTCCCGTTGACTGACTGTTTTCAGCTCCTGAAGGATGGTTACTTGAAATAGAGAATTCAGAATGCGCCCAAAAAGTTGAGTAGTGGATAGCTTTCTGACGTTTGAAACGATGGCTACTAGGTTTGAGCCTGATTGGGAATACTATCACACCGACTGGGAATGCAGGTACATCCAACCGATAAGTCTTAAACAGCACGAAATACACATCTCGGACCCCACTCTTTGTCACCATCCATCAAGTAATTAATATATGAGAAGTCAGAAGTTAAAATCAGTCTGCATAAATGCTTACCATAAGAAAATCTTTTTCCGGCACTCTAACTAAGTATGAAAGGTATATAATCAGGCATGCTGCACCGCTTATTACAGCTATAAGCGATAAACTTCATTCACATAGCTATTTTATTTTTTTTTTAATTTTTAATCTAATTTTTTTTTCATTACAGCTTGATTCCACACCGTATTTTTCGGTACAGGTATGGAATTTTCAGTATATGATATCGGTAGCCTAAAGTTTGCAGGCCGACCATAGATATCGGGTGTGCGTCAGCAGGGGATCGAACCCCGGACCATTTGCCTGGTCGGCGAGAGTCCTAACCACTGTGCCACCGACGCATACCTAGAGTTTGTAAGGAACTCCTGTACTTTATGACATCCGAACTCTGGCCAATCAGTAGTCCTGCAAAGTCAGAGACGTAACACCACTGAGCTATTCGGACTTGCAACTAACTGACCTCCTTTAGGACTGTAATGGGTAGGATACTTTGATTGGACACTAGATAATAACTAATGTTATGCGTCTAGTCCTTCATTTGGTGCAGACTGAACTCTATTTCTGGTTCTCTTATGTATGGTTAGTCCAAAGCCTCAGGATGGTCGGGGGTGGGTGCCTTGCGCTGCGCGTTGGCCATCCCTCCGTACACCTCTTGAAATGCTCCCATATGACCGGGCGTCTTACATAGCCTCTCCTGAGGAAGTTCTACTCACTGCCTTCACGTGGCGGAGGTGTCTTTCACCGAAGTGAGAGGGCAAAAGCGGATACCTGGCGCTCTTCACCGAGTTGACTGTCCATTGGATAACAGTCTAGGGGAGATGGCTAAACCCTGATTCCAAACCTCCAACGACTGGCGTATGTAGCTCACCGGAGCTCACCGGCAGACGCATGGACAAAGGGCTTGTTGGATGTCCTGGATGTCTGGCCCCATTCAAAAAGGCGTATGAACCGGATTCCGGTCACGGCTGGCTACCACTGGATAGTGGACTCC